GAGCTCACTCCCCTCGTAGCATTGAGAAGACGAAGCTGGATGTTGTTGAACAGTTTTTCTCCAGTTGTGGCCTTGATTGTTTAAACCACTTTAATCTGGTAATTTATTTTGTCCACTTGCTGGTAATTCAATGAAAACCTTGAGGCAGCTATTGAGAGAAAATAAAGGAAGGGTAAAGTAGCTGGTTTATTCTTCCTTTTCTTGCCTTCAACTCTTAATGCACCCTAGAACTTTATTTTGTTCCAAAATGGAACAACTTAGATTCAATAATATTGCTCCTTTGTGTAAAGGACACTATAATATTTGCCTTCATAGGCTTCTTTGCAAGCTGTTGGTAGATTTGATTTTTAGAAGGAAAAAGAAAAAGTGTGTTGCTGACTTCTGGGAGCTGAAGCTCTGTCTTTGGAAGCTGGGAACAGCTGCTTAGAAATGAAATGGATGCACCAGTCTGAGTGTGCTTGAAGGGTAGGAGGAGCAGAACAGAAGACGTGAATGCCAAGAAGGCCATAAGAACTAATGAGCACTGGCATAAGAAACAATCAGTAGCTATTTCTTAAAACAACAACAACAAAAAGGAATTCAGTTGCTACAAGGTATGGTCTGGCTTCTTTCTGAGATGCACAATGGGCAGTTAAAGAAATACTGTCAGTACTCACGTTGAGCCTAGTGTTTCATTTATCCTCTGTCTGTTTTAAAGTTGGAGTAATGGAAGTCTTTATCTTAGGAGACAAAGGGAAGGGATGGTGTTGTCCTGGTGATTCCAAATAATATTCTTGAAAACACTATAGGCATCTTCAATGCTCTTATTTGGAAATGTCAAATAACACCCAAAATGGTTGCTATTAATGTAGAGGTATATTTTCTTTCTTTGAATGAGGACTTTCTTTAAAGCAGCTGCAGGCTGTGTTTTTGGGGGAGTGAGGGAGGGATGAGTTGGTAGTGGATATTTCTGTTCTGTAAGGTTTTGTTTTATTTTTATCGCGTTCTTCCTTTGTTGCTTCTAGTTGTGTGGTTTATGTTTTAGTGAGTTCTCTTAGTTCTATTCATTTGGCAGGGTGAGGCACTGAGAGAAAATTACAAAACATAAGTACAAAAGTTACTCAAGATCAGTCAAATTGTGTCTGTAAGGGTGTGTGAAGGTCAGCTAAAAATTCACATAAGTGAAAGTGACATGGTGAGGGGAGCTGAGAGGCTGGCGAAGGGCTGCATGGGCTTGGGGATGTCCTCTCTTTCTCTATCCCCAGCAGCTCCTGGTTGTGCACCCCAACTCCCATAGCACTAATGATCCCAGCTCTCACAATTTTGCGGTTGTCCTGTACCCCCAGCTAGAGAACTGAAATATGGCCTTTGTCTAAACTCAAAGCTAAGCTTAGAGTTCAAGGAATGCTTTAAAAATCATTAATTTTGAGCTCAAAGAAAATGTAATTTTCAGGAGGTGCTGTGCTGTCTTGTGCTGCTTCATCAGCTCTGATCATCAATTTAGCAAGGCAAAAGAAAGTCTATTCTAATGACTTTTATTGCATAGATTGTGCTGACTCAGTGATTGAACCAACTAAGTTAATTTGAGAGGGACATTAAATTGGGTGGAATTTGAGGGATTTTAGTCTTCTAAGCCTCAGTCCCTCAGGCTTCACACAAAATGAAGCACATAATCAGCTTTCAGTAAGCACTCGTTTCCATTAATCATAAACTATAGGCAAAGTTGGAGCTTACAAATTTAGGTCTCTTACTGTTGTTTCATGTTAATGACTATTATCTCTTCTTCCTATTGTATACAAGTCTTTCACAACTGTGTTAGCACAGATGGCGAAAATCCCTAGCAGAAAAGTAATCAGCATTTGTGAACATGATGCATTCAAAATAAATGACAGAGGAGGGAAAATGCATTGCTTGGGAAATTAGAAAGAAGATTAAACAATAATAATGCATGTAAACACATCCTGGGAAGCAGGCTGCAGCTTTGTTTTCACCGCAACTCAAACTTCAGTATATGTAACCTTCTGCTGAATTTATTGACAAGACAAGGAAGTAAGCTACATTAAAATTGGAGAGCAACTGGTTGAATATCAATAATTCATAATGTTGTGGTTTTGTTTCCTAAAGCCTGTTATAGATTAGACCGTTCTGTGAAGAAAAAAGGATGTGCTACTCTACAGATTTTAATTATTGTACTTTAACTGAAATAGAGCTAAACATTTGACCTATTCGCAAGCATGATGAACAAGCATTCTCTATTAGCTGGAGGGCCAACAGTCTTAGGTTTAACCTCACTATGTGCTGCTGATTATTTGAACTCAAAACAGTAGACTCAGTATCATTCATAAACCTGTCACAGAGTTTATGGTAGTGCAGCACTCGGGTTTAAACAGTACTTTGGCCACTTTGCTTCTCATGATAAAGTAAGCAACTCGTGGCCAATTACAAGGCCCATACTGCAAAGATAATGTCTGAGTGACCAAGTTAAATAAGGATGACTTCTAGCTTGTTCCTTAATTCTGATAGTCACAACATGAATTAAATGCTAAAACTGAACCCATGCTCTAATTAAACCCTAAAGTTAAAACTTTTTTTTAAAGAAAAGGCTTTTTCCTCTACTTTCCCTGTGATGTGCTTCTAGCTTTTCCCAAAAAAGGCCTGTTCCCTTGAGTGTTGGCTAGTTGAGATATGGAAATTCTTTGTGGTTGTTGGTCTGGAGAAAGCAGGCAGCAAGGAGGAGAAGTGTGAAAACAAAGAGGAGTGATTCTTCCCCAGGATCTGACGTTAAATCCAGGGAGTTCAAGTTTGCATTTTTGTTTGATAAACAGTAAGGAAAGCTGTTAGAAGCATCCACTTAATTTTCTTTCAGCATTTATTGCTGCTTGTTTGTGGTGATAACAGATGGAAGATAATGCACACGTATGTTTGTTAGGTGAGCATAAACCATTTCTAACATGGGCTTTTTGCAGCTTTGCACAGGACAGGTGGTTGCCTGATGGCAAGTCAGCATCGTGTTGTGCACCTTAATGAGAGCCTTGGAGCTTAGGGAGTGTGATAACTCTAACTTGAGAAATAGTGAGCAGGGGAGGATAGTTTCATATGAAGAGGTAAACTTTGTTGTGGATACATGCTTCAGCTCTTCCTTGCTTGTATTTGTGAATAATGGGGAAAGTTTCTTGCACTTCTTCCTTTCTCTCCTTTCCTGCTAGCTGATGAGAAATACATCAATATAGCTTCCATTTTCTGGGTAAAGAAATTAAGGATTATGGTTGAACTTAATGAACTACAAAGATTTCCTGTATTTATGTGAGGATGTTGAATTCCATTTTGGCATTTCAGAATGGCTGATGTTGGCAGGGACTTCTGGAAGTCACCAGATTCCCCTATTCAAGCAAGGGCATCTAGAGCAGCTGTCTTGGAGAATTTGAAAATCTCCAAGGATAAGACTTTACAGCCTTTGTGAACAATGTCTTCTGCTCAGACACTGCACAGTAGAGCACTTCTTTCATGCTAATACATATATTATTATATATATACTAATTATTAATACTTATATATATTTTAGTGTGTGTGTATATATATTAAAGGAGATTAAAATGGTTATATATACTAAAGAAGATGTGAAGTCTTGATCTTTGCAAAGTTGTACCTAAAACTTATTTGGTGGTCATGACTTGTTCTGCCTGTAAATGGGAAATGCTACTGTGTACCCTTGTAGGGGCAGGAGGTCTAGAAAGAATATTTCATCAGTGCTCCTTTGCTGGTGCATCGTGTTTGAGTTTGTCTCCAATGTTTTATATATTATATATAGATGTTTTCTCTACATTATTAAGAAATACTGTTTAAATGCTCATATCATTTTATACCATTGGTACTATTTCATGTTCAGTAATATTTGGTCTAGAGGAGATAATTTGGTGGGGGGTTTTTTGTTTTTTTGCAGTTTTGGTGAAGTGTCGTTGAAAGGTGCTTGATCAGTATAAATAAACTGACTGGTTTACAAGTTTAAGGCACAACTTGTATTCAGTATTCAATGCTCTATCTTCTCCCACAAGATTCTCTAGTAGATGCATCACCTATTTTGCAGCTGCTTCTGTAAATTTCACAAGGCAGTATTTCCAATCTCTTAGGTGCTTTCCCATTTGTGAAGTGCTTAAATTGTTACATGTTACCATGAAAGAATTAATAGGCATACGAATGGTAGATTTAAGCTGCCTTTTGGAATTTTGGTGATGAATAGTTTTATAGGAAGTGCTATGATATATCAACATTCAAATTCTTCTACCAGGTGACTATTGTTTTCAGTAGAATGAAGAAAAACTTTGAATTTTCTAAAACAGCGCTTTACAAAATGATAATTTTTAATGATTAAAGAAAATAGAAGAATATTTGACTTCTTGCTCTAATGGATGTAAAGCCCAAGTCCTACTCTCTTTTAAATAAGGTCGCTGGATTTTGTTATTAAATCAAAGCTAGTACTCTCTTGGCAATTCAACTTCAGAAACTTTATTTCCAGAATATTTGATATAGCTTGATCTTTTCTCCCAGGTATAGGAAGGAAATAGTCAGGGTATGAGACTGTTGCAGCCATCTCTTTCTCTCTCAGCTGACTCATTTATGTATCTTCACATATATATGAAGATAAGTTATGTTTTTTCCTCACTGCTGTACTTGAAATGTGCTTAATCTCACAGTTAGTGAGTTGCTGTCTTCCAGCGTGATGTTTTTTTCCCCCCATACGGTTTTACACCTTCTCATACCGTTGTTTTGCCTCCTCAATTCAGGAGGTGCTAGCTGTCACGGTCAGAGCAGTCTCACCTCTCCCGGTAGTTTTACCTTTCTGCCTTGCTTAGCTCTCTCAAGTTTCTCACGAGTCTTTTTTTTGCAACTTAGCAGTAGTCTCACATATCCAAGACAAGTTTGCCCTGCTGAGCTGTATAAAAATTAACCTTTGCTCCTGGCAAGAGGTTTACAAAAACTTGTGATAAAGATGATTCATGTTCTGTTAATCTATTTGTTTTCAGATATGGAAGATCTGAACTGGTGCTCCTTCACTTCTTGATGCAGGATCTCTCCGCAAGTGCTGCATGTGAGTCTTCCCCTTAAAACTTGGAGCACTGCATAAATTCTGCTGGTCCAGAGGCTCAGACTGCAAAAGGTAGGACAGCTATTTTCATTGGAAAGTTTAAGTGTTCTCTGAAGTTTTTATGTGCTGCCTGTTGTTGCCATTTTTAAAAACTCTTATAAATCTTTTAATTAGAGCTCTTTGAGATCACACGTGCTGAGGGAACAGCATGGAGTTGCACTGAGGAGGGTCAGGCTGGGTGAGAGGACAGTATTCTGCCCAGAGGGCAATGGGCATGGAACACACTGCCCAGGGCGATGGGCACAGCCCTGAGCTGCCAGGTCTCAAGAAGTGTTTGGACAATGTTCTCAGTTATAAGGTTTGAATTTTGGGTGGTCCTGTGTGGAGACAGGAGTCGGACTTGATCTTTGAAGGTCTGTTCCAACTCAGGATGTTCTTTTCTGTGATTATGACTGTAAGATAATTCCAGGTAATCAGTATTCTAACACAGTAAATATACTGCTTGTGATTATCTTTGATAAGGATGATAGTTAAGGTTTTTCCATAACTGTCTTAGGACTGTAGCACCTCTTCTATGAAGACAGGCTAAAGGAGCTGGACTTGATCAGTCTGGAGGAGGCTGCATGGAGACATCATTATAGCTTTCCAATATTTAAAGGGAATTTATAAACAAGAGGGAAATCAACTTTTTACATTGGTAGATAGAGATAGGACAAGGGGGAATGGTTTTAAACTAAAGGGAAGATGCATTAGATTTCAAGGGGCAGTTTTTCACTGAGAGGGTGGTGAGGTGCTGGCACAGGCTGCCCAGAGTGTCTGTGGGTGCCCCATCCATGGAGGTGTTCAAGGCCAGGTTGGATGGTGCCCTGCACAACCTGATCTAGTACGTGACCTAGTGGTTGGTAACCCTGCCTGTGGCCAGGGGTTAGAACTTGATCCTTAAGGTCTCCTCCAACCTAAGCCATTCTGTGATTCTGTGTGTGACACTGAGACTTTGTAACTTAATAAATAAAAGCTAATACAGCAGAAGTTGAAGGCAGGAGTAAAGGATGTAACCTTGACTTCTACTTCAGCATTGTGGGTTGATCACAGTTATTGTAGCTCTGAAATTCTCCAGATGCTTTTAATGAGAGCTATTAATTCTACTTTCTTTAATGACATTAATTGTCCAGTACAGGACGCAAACGGCTTGCCCTCAGAGAGAAGATTCATGCCTTGTTATAATCAGTATGAAATTCTTTCTGTCATTTATGCAATTGTGCTTTCTTTTCTTTTCTTACTGGTAACTGTATAGAACGCACCAGCCAACACACCATATCGTGCTAGTATCTCACAACTGTTATTGGTGAATGGGTATCAAACCATTAAGCTTGATTAATGTTAAGCTAAAGTTATTTCATTTTACGACTACACCCTATGGAATTTTTCTTGTGTTATTTTACCTGTTCAAGGGATACACAATATATAGAAAAGAATATTTATTCCCCCTTTTCTCCCCTTATAGAATTTGAAACCAAAAGTTGTGATGAGGAACTGACGGTCCATTAAGGCATCTTTTGAAAGTATTATACCTTTTGATCATGCAAGGAAGATTTTTTTTCTTCCTTCCTACTAGATAAGAACGTATTTAGCCTTGGGGCCATGCAGCAGATACTGTTTCAGTTTTCTGGTCAGGATGCATGCCTGCTAATTGAAGAGTTGGTCAGAAGCACTTAAATCCAAAATGTGCCTAGCTGTTCTTGAGGAAGTTCAAAAACAATTCTTGCCTTGTGAAATTCAATCCCCATACAAAGTGATTCTGGGAAGTCTATCAGACTTTCACAAGCTGGTTCAAAATGACAAGAGGTGAAGTACTGTGCTGCTGGGTTTTGTTGGAACCATCTCCAGCTGCTCAAGTAAGGAAGCCTGGAATTATGTAGAACTCTCAGATATAACTGACATAACTGCTTTCTTGAATCCCAAGAGAAACATTTAATTGGGAACCTACATTAATGTTTTTCCTTTTTTTTCTCCATTAGACAGCAATAAATTTTCTGTGTAATTAGATAGTCAATGTAGCTTGATCAAAGAGAAATTTAATATCTTTCAGGTGCATTTGATTGGCCTCTACTGGGTTTTAGAAGTGTTGTGTATAATTCGGATACTCACTGTATAATGTGAGCATGCAGCATTTGTAGAAGCATGTTTTTCTTAGAAGTGCTGGTTTGTTTTGACATATTTCATTCCTTCTCCACATCTGGAAATAAGTTGGAAGAGAGGACTGGTTGATCAAAACAAAATTACAATTAGAAATTGATTTTTCTGGATTTTTTTGCCGTTTATTTTGATTTTTTTTTTTTTTTTTGTAAAATATAGAATTAGGAAATACTTTTTTAAAAAGTGAATTTCTTCCTCTTAGAGTAGTATTTTGATTTTTTTTTTCTTAAACAAATGCAAGGCAATAAAAGATAAAACAAGATACAGAGGAAAAGGCTGTACTGCCTTCCACCCTTTTCACCAACTAGTGCTTATGGTTCTGATGGGATTTAAATGAAGAACTGAATTCTCACTTTGAAGAAACTGAGATATACCCAATTTCTAAAGACACTTAATTCATCCTTTAGAGTTGAGCTATTTTAGACTAGTGAGAAATGAATTTTTTGAATCTGTCCTAATGAACCTGTTCTAACCCCTTGGGTTTCCATAAGAAATGTAAATATTCACTTAGTTGGGCAGAATGAATTAATGAATTAGAGATTATGGAAATGGAGCCCTTGAAGTATTTCTCCAGCAAGTGAGACCTTAAGATTCAGTCTTACGGTTCCTGTGGGTATTCAGTACTTTTCCAGAGGGGATAAACCAAAACAGATATCACTGAGAATATTTGTCATCAGTATAAGATATGGAAATCAGAGCACTGTCCTTGCAGATCCTTCAGATGATATAAAGGTTCTGGGAATACAGTCTCAAGACAAAAAGAGGAGAAGAGTTGCTTTATCTTTTTCTCTTTGTGAGTTTTGCATTATTTTTTTTCCCTCTTTTGAGGACTAAATCACCGAAAGTGGTGAGTTGTCAAGGTACTGAATAGGAAGCAACATCTTTAGTTTTAAAGGTTTTTGCTAAGGGTATGCATTGGAGTGAAGAACAGAGCAGTTAGAAGTTACAGGTGTAATGAGTTGTGTTTGAAAATGTGTACCTGTGAGTAGACTCCTTCTATAAATTGAACTCCATGTGTTACAAATGAAAAACTGTTCCCATGTCTCTTCATTCACTGAGTCATTAGAATTTTCATTTGAACTAGTTTGTTGCAAATAACATTGATCATGTAGATAAAACAAAGCTTTTGTGCTTGTTGCAATTTGGATTTTATTTTGCTTTTGATTCCAATTCAGGCTCAGAAATCTCATTTTTTTATGGACAATGTATTTTGCTTCTGTTTAGATAAGCACAAGGAAAATTAGGTTTGGTGTTTGTGGAGCTGTCTCTTTCAGAGTTGCAATCAAGATATTAAACAAAACAAAAAAAAAATATGAGAAGCAATATTTAAGGAAACTCCTTGTCTAATAAATTCTGGAGAGGGTTAGGTGGTGAATCTTGTGTTAATGATGAGGGATGGTTGGAGACTTCAGACTGAAGATATTAATGTAGCTGCATAATACAACCACTTAATTGCTGCCTTGTTGACAGCAGATAATTTTATTTATTCTTCTCTTTAAATTTCAAAAAGTAAAGAACTTTAAGGGTGTTTTTCACATATTTGGCATATTTCAGGTCAAATGTGAATGAGGCTGATGCACTACTGAGAAATACTTTGAGGGTGACTGAAGAGAGTGAAATAGCCAAAACTAAGCACATAAGGAAAACAAAATATTTTAACTGTCAACCCTTTCAGGAAATTTGAGCTGAGGATGCTGAACAGTCTATTGGCCTATGGCTGGCTAATTAAGATGCTCAACTAGTGAATCTTTGAAATCAGCATTAGTGTGAAGCTGACTCTAAGGTGCTTGGTAGTATTCCCGGTCTTACTGTGTAATCTTAATAAGATCTTGTTTCAAGCACTCGAATTTAATAGTCTCATGCAGGGGATGTGAAAGGCTGACTTCCAATTTGATGTGGCCTCCTCTAAAGGATACGACATAGTGATATCATTAAGCCTTTAGTGAAAGGATGTTAAATGCGTATTGGTTCCTGTGATGAGCTTAGCTGTATAAAGGTGAGGTGACAAATCATCTGAGTAATTCCAAATACATAGTAACTTTTACTCCTTGAAACGCTCCCTAAGGAGTTATTGAATTCAAAAGGTACATCCAAAGAGTATTTAATCATAAATGCATTACAGCAAGAAAATACTTTTGAATGTATTGTTTCTGATATTCTGACAATGTGTTTTTGCCTTGTTCTGTACTATGCTGATACCATTACTTATTGCTCGTTATGTTGGTAGAGTAGGTGTGTTTGTTTGTTTCCCTAGTAGTGATGTTTGTTGTTTTTTATTTGATTCATGTACCTTACTGAAGAGATGGCAGTTGGCTAAACAGATGATTATGGATATGTGTCAGTGCTCAGTCAAGTTAGAGAGCTCTCACAGTTTCTTCTAGCATCAGAATAGTTCTCTGAATAGTTCTCCAAATAGTTCTGTTTTATGGTGTTCAACATACATCTTTATATACCATTCACTTACAAGCCAGGAATTCCTGTCCCTCTAATCAGCTAATTGGCCTAGCTTCTCCCAAAACACAGTGATAAAGGATGAAAGGTTCCTTAAGTGTGGTAAGATTAACAATGCATACAAAAAGAACCTCCTGTTTACCCTTAGATGCAAACAGATACCATTTGCTTTCTGTCTTATACTCCAGACTCCCAAGGTTTCACAGTGATAGGGTCTATCAAGGAGTATAATAAACTCTTTGCTGACTGCTCACAGCTACATTTTCCCCCACAGATATGCACTGTGGGCAGTGGATTTCCTTCCTCAGGCGCTTAACTGGAAGCAACCATCTTATGGAGGCTGGGAGAGTTTCTTTTCCTTCTCTCTTTCCAAGAATGTTTCTTATAAGCTAAGGACACAAATGTGTCAGTATTTTGGCTGCCACAGTGACAGCTCCAGCATTATAGAGCTACAGAGACTCACTGATGAGGCATTCTTGCTCCAACTACAAGAAGTGCTGCATTCACAGGCTCTCATTGTGATGAGGGATTTCAACCACCCGAACGTCTGCTAGACAAGGAGGCTAGAACTAGATGATCTTTGAGGTCTCTTCCAAACCAAGCCATTCTATGATTCTTTGTTGTTCCCTTACACATTAGTGAAAAACACCTATCAACCTTCAGGAGAAGTGGAAGGATGAGCATGTTTTTTTTCTGTCTAGGATGGCCCAAGTCTGTTTCCCTTCTTTATAATTTAAAGCCTGGATGACTGTTTGTTACACTAGGTGAGGGAGGTTGCCATCAACAATATCAGAACTGCATCAGGAAAAAGCGTTTGTTGGTGGCTGCTTTGGTCTGCACAGATAAATGAATCCTCAGCTTGGTCAAGGGGGAAAAGAATCAAGGAGATAGTAATGAGAGAAAAGCTGACTGGTGGTGAAGGCTTCCCTTTTGCATTGGATTCAGTCCAAACTTGAACTCTCAAAGACTGTGAGCTGAAGGCAGGCACAGAGCAATCCAGACTTCCTGAAGGTAATCTGCAATTTTTAAAGAATTTCTTGCAGTTAGCTACTTCTGTCCTAGGCATTAATCATGAATTAATGTACTACAGCAAAGGTATGAGGTGTTCTACAAAAGCAACAAGGTGAAAGGAACCACCTGCCTTAACCAGTGACATTGATTTAA